TACTGCATCTGCCCGAGTGGGTACGAGGTGGCAAGCCCAGAGTTGTTGAGGCAATCTATGTAGGTTGTGTTCCTGTTTTGATTTCAGACCATTATGTGCCATCTTTCAGTGGTGTTCTGAGCTGGAGGTTCCCCCAATGCCTGTAACTTCAGCTCTTCAAATTGAGGCCCTAGCATTCTAATTAGCAAAGAAATCACCCTTCCTCTTGTAGCCAATAAAGTTGAAGATGTCACCAAGGTTCCAGTTTTGAATAGTAGAACTTCCAAGGCAGTCATAGAACTATTTTTCAGGCTAATTCTAGCTTTGGGAACCAAAAGACTTGCAATTGGAGTAACCCTGTTAACGTTTACTCTTTTGTTTCTCAAATTTTTGCCCGAATCTTCTAAAGTATTTAATGGTGATGAAGGATTATCATTTTCACCACATAGAAGTAAAACGGTCCAAAAGCTGAAGAAAAAAACACATTGAGAAATAATAAAGGGTAAATTTGACATTTTGCCTTTTTTCGTCAATATGTAACGACTTAGGAGTAATTTAAAACAATATGTAAACAATAAGGGTAGAGTTAGTCAATTTCCTAAACCATAGGGGCACTTTAAGAAATATGCCCTTAATAAAATTATGTTTGTTTTATCATACTTATTTTTTTAATATGACAAATATATAATAATAGAAATATGTCCAAAACTTTTAAAATTTCTTTATTTTCTTTATTTTTTGTATTTTTATATTTCTAAACTTGTATTATTTATTTATGACATCATGAAATCATCCATTTGACCCAAATGGTTGAACTACTTACCCACCACTTGGATGGAAAATATGATTTCATTTCTAGGTTTGATTTAAAAATATAAAGTTTCATTCTATTAATATTTAAGGTTAATTACTTATTTTTTTTGATAAATATTAGGGTTAAATACTTATTGTTTTGATAAATATTAGGGTTAATTACTTATGTATACCCTATATATTTGAGAAAGTACTTACGTATACCCTAAACTTTTAAAAACAACTTATATATACCTTATTGATTTTTCCAAGGTTAAGTTTAATAGGTTAAATGTAAAAGGATGCAAGTATCCCTAACTATTCATTAAATTTTCAAAATATGCCATTTTCATTCTTAAAAAGATGCAACTTATATATACCTTCTCTCTCCTCCATCTTCTTCTTCTTCAATGTTGCAAACACCACTGCTAGAATTAAGTTGAGTAAATAAAGAAAAAATAGATTATTTCTGGATTTTCAATGTAGTGACCCGATAAGCCAAACCAATCTGCCCTTTGTTTTATGCTTCTTTAGTGCCTTTTCTAAAATATTATAGAAAAGTGGAATCTTAGTAAGAACATTACCCACAGAACTCTTTTTCTCTTTATGGGGATTTTGACAATGAATAGATGGTTCTAATTGAGGGAACAAAATGGTACAACTTCAACTCTCACTACACTCCACCTTTTAAGTAACCAATAAAATTGGTTCTTTATCATTTTTATTTATTAGAACGGGTTTGGGTTGGAGAAGGTGTTTATTAAAGGCAAAATGAGTTTATTAACTGGTACGGATGTTAGAATGGTCATAGTTCCTAGGAGGTGTTTAAGAAAAGAATGAAGCAATGGGATTTGATCATATAATTGCCATTCTGGGTTGGAGCAGAATCAAAGGTATTAGAGATTTGGTTCCTTTGTTGATGGTGCGCGATCTAGATACTCCTAACTGGAAGATGATCCAATCTCCAATTGCGCGGCGAGTTGGACCAATCTGCAGAATAGTAGATCAGATAGCCCAGGGTAGCTAACCCGGCGAGGTCGCTCTGATGCTTAAGTCAGTACTTTATACTATGAATGCGAGCTGAATCTTGAGTGCTTGAATGCTAGTGAGTAAAATAATCACGCGTACCTTTGCCTTGAGGTTTCATGTCCTTATATATTGGAGTAGTCGTGGGCCTTATGAAAGAGCTTCGAGATCTCCGGGCTGTGCAGATAAGGTTTGTTCCGTTTTTGAAGGAGAGGAATATGTTGATAAGGTTTATCGTTTACCTCCGATTCAGGCGGAGCTAGGATGAGTCTCATCGTGATCCCAAGAAATTCGGGGTCCGTTGGAAGGGCCTTTGGAGTCGATTATGTGACGTTTCGGCTCTTTAGCTCCAAACTGGCACTTCGATTCTTTAGTCCCAAACTGTATTGGGTGTCAAGGTGTCTCTATGCCAAGGTGGTTTTTTAGGCCGAGGTGGCTGGATACTCAAGCTCCGAATGTTGCGAAATGGGTTCGTTTGGCTGAGTTGTCACCCCTCGAGCAAATCGCGTCTACGTGTCCCCTTCTTACTAGGTCGTGCCAAATCATCCTTCATCATTTGTCTTTTCAAATACCTTCTTTAGTGTTGCTGCTTTTCTTCTTATTTTTCTTCGGATAACATTTCCTTGATGAATGAACAGTATTTTCAACATTCCATCTACTTTGTTTTTGTTTTAAGTTCATCTTGTTCTAGATCTATGACTACGTCCTTTGCTTTATTCTTGTCAGATCTAGTTGTCTTTGACAATCTGACTTTTTCTTCTTCTATATTTCCATATCTGCATTGCCTCCATTCATTCAGTTTGGAGAGGGAAGGAAGAACAAGGATAAAAATGGAATTATAAAAAAATTAATGGCATATCTAACAACTCTAACACTTTTTTAATAGATGGCTTATTTGTGTTATGTGGGGCCATATTACAAGGTATATATAAGTAGGTTTTGAAAGTTAAGGGTATGTTTAAGTAGTTTCCTAAATATACAGGGTATATGTAAGTAATCACCCCTAATAATTATTGTGTATGAATTTATTAGTGGAATTTAATGATGATAAATAAAAGTACAAATGTTGGATTCAATGAGAGAATGTGATTTATCTAATGACTTAAATGTAAAACTTAATGAAAGGTACTTAAATGTATTTAATAGTATTATTTTAATTACATTTTTGCCCTCTCAATGGAGATGAACCAAATTCAAGAAGAGTAGTTTAGTGAAGAAAAATTCCAGAAGCCCACTACCTTGTAGATATCTTGTGCAACCCCACATTATCCTCCCACTCTAATTTTAATTTCTTTCCAGCATACCTCTTTAAGAAAAAAAAAACCCTAATGTGTGTTCTCTTACATCAACCCTACTGCTTTTATTGGCATATCTCATTTCTCCCCCGGTTTCTGCCCTTTAAAGGATCCAATATATAAATAATACATTGTTCTTAGAAACCAGCCCTTGCATCTTAGAATTAATTAACAATCAACTCTTTGGTTTTAAGATCCTTAATCTTTCACCACTAGAAGTGTTGCCTCTTTTTTAATAACAATGGCACTACTTGTGTGTGGGTGTGGCACTACTTATGTATGTATGTATGTATCCCCATCCCCTGGTCCAGGTTGCACAACCACCTCAGAAAATCACCATTTTGAAAGCACCTCTAATACAGTTTAAACCTGTATGCATTTCCAATTTGTTTAGAGAACAAGTACTATAATATAAGAGGGAAAATGTCAATGCAAATGTTGGACCTTTTGCTACCATGCTCGTTTTTCTAAAATCAGGAAAACCACTTAAATGGTTTCATCAGGCCATTTTCAATCTCAATGGCTTTAATTTCCTAAATAGGCACTATCCATGGTTGTAGCATGTATATTATACCTAAAAGATTTAAAAAACTCCATGGCCAATTAAAAGGCAATGGACAAATTAATGCAGCCCAGTTTTAATGCTTTGAAATAACCTGATAGCATAAATAGGAATTCTTTAAGAAGAACAAACAAAATAACTAACACTTCCAAGAAGTAGAAATTATAGATGGCTTAAAATGGGCAAGAAAATCCAATTATGTCTAAAATAATATTGTTACTCTCCTAGAAATGTAACTGACCTGGATGCCAAGGTGACTATGGTGGTTATTTAACCATTCATAAATTGATAACATGGCATTTGGATTAGGAAACAAATCCCACCAATCTGACATTGATAAAACAAGATAACATCATCAACTTACAAAGCCAAATCTTTAATTAAAATTCCTAAAAAGCAAACAAAATCAAATAGCTTGAAAAGTGTTCTTCAAGAATAAACTTCAGCAGGTTTCCAGGTCAAGTTGGGCCTTCATAGTGGTAGGGAAGGTGAATTTTCATGCAGAGCAAGTTATGTTATACCACAAAGAAAAGTGAATGCACAATCTTGATAGGAAAACATGACAGAATTATTTCAAACCACTGTTTAAGGAAAGCCAACAGTTGGAATTGAGTCAGAAAGGTGAACCAAATTGGATAGTGCACCACACCAAAACCAAACCAAACATAACAGTTTGGTCATAGTCAAATTAAACCTAGAAAGAAAATAAAGAAGAAAAACAGGTAGATTAGCAAGACTTTTTTTTATATGTTTTGAAGGGCTACACAACGGGGAGTAGCCCATCCAGCCATCCCCCAACCCAGGTGCAGGCAGGATTCGATCCCAAGTCTCTGCTACAAACAGCAGGAGACCTTACCAACCAGCTGGTTGGCACCTTGCAGGTAGATTAGCAATATTCTTCTGTGGAAGATGAGCTGAGATTAAATTAATCTGTCAGCTTGGACCTAGAGGTCCTAGACCAAGTTTACCTCAAAGTAACCAGCTTGAAATATCTTATATATTAACAAAAAGGGCAAGTTCAGGTAGGTCTTGATATCCAGCAAGTGAAAGCAGTACATAGGATATTGAGCATGGAACGTGCCACAGACAGGCATAGGATCCATTTTGAAGTGTCCACATAACATAGGGTCAATATACCTATACCATAGCACCAATAGTGCCTTTTGTTGATCAAGAAAAGGATGTCTTTTATCAGAAAGATTACAAATTTATTTCATGTGATCATGTCACAAAGAAATGCAACCAATTAAATGATAAAATCTAAAATCATTATGGAAACATCTCAAGTATGATTGGTTAGACCTAGTTGTCAATGCAATTGAATTTACTGGATTATATAACATGTTTAAAGAAACATATTGTAGATAAAGCAATGTAAGGCATTTTATGCCCTGTTTGGCCAGACTTTTTCAATGTACTCTTGTATTTGGAAAGTAAAATATGGTTTGAAAGTACATTATGTATTTGGATATGCCTGTTTTGAAAAGCAAGAATGGTAAAAGTACTAGACTAAAGCACTAAAACATGAAGAAAAATTTTCTGGATTTGTGCTTTCATCTGTGTTTTTACTTTTATTTTTAACAAGTCACATATAACTCATATGCCACTTGTTTCGGTTCATCTTCAACATTTATCTGCCTCATCGAGATGCTACATGACATAAAGATCAATTAAATAGGAAAATGTATAATGTGGCAAAGTTTTTATGACATATGAAAGTATATAAATAATGACATAGCACACATATGCCATATGACAACAGGAATGTTAGTCTTGTCTGATGTCAAAGCATCTGTTCCACATTCCATGTAGAACATGTATGTGGCACATGCAGCTCACATAACATATCACGCGAATGTCCCACTTGGCACTTGTGCATCATATGGCATGTGTATGTCTGTCATATGCCATATCACATCTGTTTGTCACATGTCACATGTATATCCACATGCCATGTGACCTTGAGAGACTTCTAAATTTCATTACTGAAAAGTTAACACAAGCATGGTTCAATGTGAAAGTAAGTAGATTATTGTATCCAAATGCATGTTTGTACCTTTTACTGTAAAAAGCATGTTCTGCAAAAACATACTCCCCAAATGGGTTTTACAATAAAAAGTACACAGTAAAATCCCAAAAGCAAGCTTCTTCTTTTGGGCTATTAAAAACACAAAATAAACGTCAATCCAAACAGAGCCTTAGATTACAATTTTAGATAACCATTAAGGAGTCCTCAATTAACAGATGCCCAGTTGTGTGCTTATTGGGTTGTCAAGAGATTAAAGACATTGTATTGTTGGGGCAACAAACTGAAGCTCTGCTCTACAACCAACTATAGAATCTCAAAATAAATATACAGAAAATTTTCAAGAAAATCATGTAAAGAAAATGAAAATTGATTGTGGACTTTCTCAAGATCCTTTTGTTCGAAAGATGATTGTGGACTTTCTCAAGAAAAGGCATTCCATAGCCTCCATCACAGTACCTGCTTTACTTGCAATAATAGACTTTAAGTTTCCACTTGCACTTAGATTCTTCCATTTTATTGTCTCCCTTAACCCAGAACCTATAGATGCCGAACCTTATCCAACAACTCCTCCAATGCTTGCAAAGTAACTTTGTAGTGTTCTTGAGATTTAATGCCTTCATCCAGAACTTGAACGGCACGCTTGTATAAATGCTCACACCATTGTAATGGGTTATTAATATCAACATCTTTGGATCCATAATCTGGAATATGCATGTGCTTAAAATCCTTTCTCCATCTTGAAAGAATATATTGGGAAGGGATCTCCACAATGCCGTTGTAGTTAAGGACAGTTAATGCATGTCTACATAAATAACCTTTGAGATTAAACCAATTGCAAGTGCAACGAACTTCAACTTCAGATGCATTATATAAAACTTCATAATACTTGATCTCCTTCCTATTTCCTTGACTCTCAACACGCTCTTTAACTACATATATTATAATTGGACCATCAGCATGTATTTGTGTTGTATTAAAACATGAAAACATCTCCTCAACCTCATACTGGAACTTCTTAAATATCTCCTTTGTGTAAACCTTGGAGAGTTGTGCCTCAAAACAACATTTTGTTTTCAACACAGGATTGAAATGTATTGATTCAAAATCTGCCCTGGCTTCTTTCTGATACTTCTTCTGCAGAACTAAGTCATATTTGTCAAGGAAGTCCTTCAAAGAGGTCTGTTTATGCACATGCCCATCAAAGAATGCAGTCATGCCCTCATTTCGTTGTGTAGTGGACATACCCGCAAAAAATGTGTCCTTAAAATATACTGGAGCCCATCGATGTCGATCCTCATACAATGTTTGAATCCATTCATGATTCCCAACTCCATGATGCTGGATCATTTCCGCCCAAGCTGTTTCAAATTCATCTACTCTCAAAGAGTCGTAAACTGCATTACTCAAGGAGCTCTTAATTGATTCATATTCATGAAACCCTCTCAGTTTCTCTGGAACTTTTTGAATGATATGCCACAAAGAAATATGGTGATGGACTCCTGGGAAAACCAGATCAGTTGCTCTTTGCATGGCCCTACATTGGTCTGTGATTATTGCAGATGGTGGACGCCCTAACATGCATGAAAGCCATACCTTGAACAACCAAAAATATGACACTAATGTCTCACCTGAAAGCAAACCACAACCTAGTAGAATAGATTGCCCATGGTGATTCACCCCAACAAATGACACCAAAGGTATTTCATAATTGTTCATCAAATATGTAGTATCAAGTGCAACAACATCACCAAAGTAATGATATGCAGCCCTGGACCTGGCATCAGCCCAAAACACATTCCGCAAATGTCCAGCATCAGTGAAATCCATCAAGTAAAAGAAGTTTGGGCTCATTAGCTGCATGCGGCAGAAAAAATTCAAGAGGACTTTTGAATCTCCTTCTTTAATCTTCAGTTGTGTGTCCAGATCAAGGCACAAAGCATTTCTTTCATCAAAGCTCAAGGTTTCATGATCCCATAAATCCAGGGTAAATGATTGGAGCAATTTATTTGTCAGCATTACAGTCTCACAATCTAACTGCAATTTCTTTTTGGTAGCAAAGCTATTGCTTTTATGTGACTTATAAAATTGTACACTAGCAGGAGTAATTAAATGGTTGTGTTCAATACTAACTTCAGTCACCTTCCACTTTTTAGAGTCCACTAATTTAACCCTCAGCATTGCTGGACAACCAGTTCTAGTTTCTGGTCTTATACGGTTTGTCTCTCGCTGCCTTTTAAAACCCTCTCTACTGCAACAAAGTACTGCAGCATACTTTTCTTTACTCTTTTCTCTAAACCATGAACTTTTCACTCTGATGCCAAATCCAAGTTCCCTTGCATAGTTATTGTAATAATTGTAAGCACCACCATAAGACTCAAATTCCATCCCTACAAAAGGTGGCACAATTTCATTATTTCTTTGAGTTACAACAGGTGATTTTTGAACATCAGGTTCCATCATCTCACATTCTTTTTCTGTTCCATATTCATTTCCTTCATCCTCAGGCAATGGCAAGCTATTGAGAGAAACTTCATCCATCTGAAAACAAATCAAACCCGAAAAAGAATTTGTTGATTTTCAAGGTTCAAACACCTAAAGAGAACAAAATGAAGCAATTTTTTAATGTATTGTAATTTTTTGATAAACAACTTGAATTTTATTAAGATGAATAGAAAATGTGCACAATCAAGCATCCCTTGGAGAGAGATGCAGCTATACCTCTCCTAATGTACAATGTATAGGACTATAGTTGAACCCAATACAAATGGTCCCTATTAACCCAATAGTGCCTCAGCCAACCCGTTCGCCAACTTTTTCATCCATTGTACTTGTAAGTACATGCCTTTTGTCCCCCATCCAATTTTCTTTCTTTCATCTTTGTAAATCCATGCCGTATTCTCACTAATCCTTAGCCAATAAACCACCACCTTGGCATCACCTTCAATAATGAATTTGTCTAAGTTCATATGTCTTGCCTATTGCACTTCTTGAAGTACAGCAAGGAGTTCAGCCCTAGTAGAAACCCTAAAGCCAATTAATTCTGAAAACATCACTAGGATATGACCATCTATATCCCTGAAAACTCCTCCCACTCCAGAGGAACCAGAGTTTCCAAAACTGTTCCCATAAAAATTTAATTTGATGAAGCCTTCCTCAGGTAGTTTCCAAAGCCTTTGTACTATCATGTATCATCTTCTTTGAAGAAGATGTAGTCACCTCACCCCATTTTCTTCAAAGATCATCATATGAGAACAGTGACAAAAGGTCTAGCAATTTGATCCAATGTATTAACTTTGCCATGATACATTCAATCACAGCATCCCTCTTTCCTTCTCCCTAAATATTCTTGCATTTCTTTCTTCCAAAATTGTCCAAATAACTGCTGTCATTGCACTTTTAATGTATTATAATGAATTAACTCATGTCCAAATGCACTTCCATGGAAAAATGCATAACTGACTAGCTAGCTATACATGAAAAGCTAGTAAATATAATCAAAACCAGTGGGATTCTACAATTGCCACTCTTGAATCTATTGCCGAAGGATTGTTGATACTATTCCTTCCAAGTAAAACCCATTTCCTATCCTCATGAACAAAACTGCTGCATTCTCAACAGAAAGAAACCCATGTTTGGATTTTCTGCATAAAAAATTCCTTCAGCGTCCTCATTAAGCTCTAGCAACAAAACCTGAAAACAGCATTGCAAACCTTGGCTTTCTACTACTCAATGGTCTCTCTTCTCCCTTGCCCTTGTTTTGATGATGAGCATGGTTTTCTTTGAGACCCATGTGGCAGAGGCAGAAAGGATGATATATGTTTTGCAGTTGAACAGGGAATGAGTTTTTCTGTTACAAGGTCTGAACTCAAGGCTCTCTAAGGATCTTCCTTCTGACATTCAGAAGTTCTGATGCAAGATATGTGTAAGCTTATCGCTACTGGTTTCTTTACTGGCTCTATAATGAACCCAACTGCAGGACAGGACTTGAGATTGTGACCTTCATTTTTAAAAATCTTTGTTGAGTTAACCAGTATTTCAATGTATCTTAGGTGGAAAATCATAGGCTGTTTTGCAAATGGAAAATCACCAATTGAGTAGCTTTTCATGTTGGACCAACCTATTTTGGATATTGGAAATAAGCTAGCAGAGAGAACGCAATTAAAGGGTTTTACCTTCTTTATCCAAGTATGGAGAAAGAAATTTGGCCGAAGAAAGGTTGTCTTCTTGGATTGAGCCATGAGCGATGAAATCATCAGCAATATGACAAAGTTACCACTCACAGAAATGTTGAATATGATATACCATGATCCCAACTTCAATGCTTTAGAAGTTTTTTTATGAGTAATAAAAGTTTTGTTAATCCAGAAACTGCTTTAGAATTGTAACATCATACAACAACCCATGGAGAGGTGCAAGCTGCAGCCTCTCCCAATAGCTCACAAGTAAACTAATAATAAATTACATAAATCACAACTGCGCCCAAAACAATTCTTCCCTATTTACCCCCTTGGCTAACACATCAGCTAAAGTATTTGCTGATCTCCCCACCTGTATAGAAACCAACATATTCCTTGTCAGCCAAATAAATTTCTTAACTTCAATGCTTTAGAAGTTAGAAAGTGTGAACTGAGAACCTTTGTTCCAAAGTTATAACTGCTTCTTTTTCCTTTTTTGCAATAGGTAACTATTCCAAAGTTATAATTGTTACATATTGTTCAGTTGTCTTTCGTTTGGAGCCACATTGCAAGTATGCAACACTTTTATAATTTTTTGTTTTTGATCAATTACACTTTTATAATCTTACTGAACTCAGATTCCGGAAGAGAAGAATTTATAAAGTAAGTAAGCATCTGATTCAACCAAGCAGAATAGTGATGGAGATGGAGAGTGAGAACAATCTCGGCCACAACTACCTTTTGTAAGGGGTTCCATCCAGAGGTGTGTTCTGAAGAGAGACATCAATGCTGGCAATAACAAAGTTACAAAGGAACAAGTAGCAAAACATCCATTTCGGGGGATGACAAAACAGAGAATGATTTCACAATGAGGGGCATCAAGGTAGTCAAAGATGGAAGAATTCTGGTTGGCTAGTTCCTGGCCAAGTAAGTTGGACTCAAGTTGAGTTTGGGAAGGATATGCCAGTAAAGGAAGTAAGGAGTTGATACATAAGAGGGTGGTGAGATCTCCAAATGCAATGGCATAGCGGACTCGACTGTCCTTGTAGTTTCCTATTCTAACCTTTCTCAGATCCATGAATTCATTGTTTGGGAGAGTGATTGGGTGGGAGTTTGTATATTTTGTAGATTGATTCTTGCTAGAAGTAGACTTTTTTTCTAACTGTGATTGGAATTTTTATGCAAGGAAAAGAATGAGAGCATTGAAACGCCATGCGATTAGATGTCTGAGGGCTAACCATGAAATTTCCATCAGGTATTTCTTGTCAGACCACCATATCATCATCTTAAAGAGAATGATGACACGGTGGAGGGATATGGAACAAAATGACAGTCCAACTATGTGAAGCAGGCTTTTAATTTTACAATTGGACTGAACTGAATTGAATTTTTCAATTTATAGCCCAACAACAATATGCTAAAGAAAATATTATTCTCTTCTTCCTGTCCAGTTTATTTTCGGGACAACAAACTAATTCAAGCGAAGGCTCTGAAGTCTGACATATAGAACAAAAAAAAAGAACACAAAGCATCAAACTTTGAGGGAAAACTAAAGAGGATCTATAAAAGAACGTAAAGAAGATCATTTTACTGAATTGAACAAAGCCAAAGAACAGATTAAAAATCTACTTCAGAGCGATAGAAGTCCACACTATTCAACTCGAGATGGGGAATAATACACTTTTATTGCTAATCAAAACTGAACCTCATTTCAACCAACAACGAGGAAGAATCAAACATCTAAAGAAACACTTACTTAAATTTCCTTCTAAACCTAAGTAACAGACCATCAAATGAAATAGCAGCAAGGAAATAACAAAAGCAAATAAATATACCACTTGCTAGAGATTAGCTTCTTTGTTTATTTTCCGTGGCAAGCGAGCAAGAAAGCGAGGGAGAGAGATTTTTTTCTTATTGTACTACGGTTTGTTAGCACGGCGACAGGTGTTCAATACTCTGAGCGTCGCGTTCGGAAGGACCAAAGAGGTGTAAAACGAACCGTGCTGGATCGGCACGCAGGCCGTCCTGGGCCATGCCTCCCTCCCCTCGGATATTTTGGGGGTCGGCCTGGCATGACCCACGGCCCGAGTCCGTGCGAGTCCGTGTCGGGTTGGCCCATAGGCTGAGCCTTGGGTCAGGCCGGGCCGTGGATTGAATTAAAATTATTTTTATTTAAAAAATTGAAAAAAAAAACTTAAAATTTTAATCTTATATGAATTTTGATGTATATGATTGTTTATATATATATATATATAATAATTAAATAAAATAGTATAATAAAATTAAAAAAATGTTTATTTTATTAATATATTATATACTATATATTATTAAGTAATTATAATTTATATAATATTATATATATTATACAAATATATAAAATATATAATATATATGGGTCGTGCCAACCCATGGGCCATGGGTGGCACAACACGACAATGTGGGTCGTGTCGGCTTGGCCAACTGACTTGAAACCCCAAGCCTAGCACAACCCATCGGCCCCATATTGTGCTAAGCCACAACACGGCCCGTGAACCATCGGGTCAGTCGGGGCGGGCCAGGTCGGCTCAAAATCGTATTGGGTCATGCCGGGCTACAAGCGGAGAGTTATCTCCGGTGAACCGATTCTAACAAGGGCGGACCGAGTGGTCCTAGTTCATGGCTCACCCATTTCCACACCCTATTGTGTTGGGGTGCTCACAGAAACCCAAAAATCGAACCGAACCGAGAAAACCTAAGTGAAAATGTAGTTAATTGAACCAATCAGTTCGATATTTCTAAAAAGCCAAAGGATTGATTTGGTTTTCAGTTAACCTAGATAAAACTGATGGTTAACCAAAGCAACCAGCATATATATTTATATGTATATTATCTATATATTATATCTAGTAATTAAACACAAGCGTGAGAAATTTTTCTTCATATTAATTACTTGAATTTTAGATATATTATAGTAAAGATAGAAATTGAAAATTAATAAAAATAATAATATGATTAAAAATAAACTTAAATGCTTGTAACAAATAACAATTATTATTATTATTATTATTATTATTATTATTATTATTATTATTATTATTATTATTATTATTATTATTATTAAATTTTGTATTCCATTTCTGTCATAAATCAAAATAACTTTTATTTTAACAGTTATTTTTATTTTAATATGATAAACATATAATATTAGAAGTGTTCTCAAATGTTTTCTACAAAATATGTACAATTTTATTTTTGGTGTTCTATCATTTTTTAAATATTTATTATTCGATTATATGACACTATGGGTTTCTTTGAAAAGTTTGATCGTTGACCCACCATCTAGATAAGAAAATAACTTTGCTTTCGGATTAGTTGTAAATTAGGGAAAATTATAGTCAAAGTGGGTTGTACATTTAAAATTAGGCTACAGGTTGGTCCTAAAACCGACAAAGCTCTAACAACTGTCTCTATATTTCAACTTATAAAAACTCTCACCATGTCTTTGGAGGCTTATGTGGTTGTTGCCAACATGGGACTCTTAATCCATGTTGGACACAACAAAAATCTTATACTGAAATTGCCCTTTAATGTTGGGTGATTGGAAAATAAAAAAAAAGGGTTTTTTAGTTTCTCTTCCTCTATCTCTCTCTCCCTCCTCCCACTCTCTCACTCTCACAATCGTCTCTCTTTGCTCAATGACTGTGTGATTTGAAAATAGATAAAAATGGTTTTCAGTTTCAGTATTTACATTTTGTCTATTAATTTCATTCTCTCTGTCTGCCTATCGTTCTCCCTCAATCTCTCTCATTCTCTTTCTCGGTCAATCACTCATCCCTTAATTTATGTTGTTCTCCCTCAATTTCTCTCCCGCTTACTCTCTCATTCTTTTTTTTCTTACACACTTATATGATATTAATCATACTGTATAAAAGAATATGAGACCAACTTGGTATAGTTAAAAAATTATTACACCAATTTGATAAAAAATCACAAGAAACTCTTGACTATGAAATTTACACCTACTTGATAGAAATTTATAACTTGATTGTATAAGTGGTTGGTCCCTTTAGTTTTTCTTTTTATACTATCTGAATAATATTGTATAAGTTTGTAAGAAAAATAAAAAAATAACGAGAAAGGGAGTGGGAGAAAAACTGAGGGAGAAGAATGAGAGAGATTGAGGGAGAACGATATATATATATATATAGAGAGAGAGAGAGAGAGAGAGAGAGATTTTGATTTGTCTACAGACCAAAGTTGAGAGAGTGGGAGAGACAGAGGGAGCGGGAGATAAACTAATAACCTATTTTCGATATAGGCTCTTTGTTGTGTCCAACATGGATTAAGAGTCTCATGTTGGTAACAACCAGATAAGCCTATGATGACATGGTGGGATTTTTATAATTTGAAATGTATAGCCAGTTAGCAAAGTTTGTTGGTTTCTAGACCAACTTGCAACCTATTTTTAAACGTACAACCAACTTTAACTATAATTTTCCCTTTAAATTATATATTTCATTTACATTATATAAATAATTTTTACTTATCACACTTAATTTTTGTTTGTCTATGATATCATTTGACCCAAACCACTAACTCACCACCCAAAAAGAAAAATAGTTTGATTTTTAGGTTGATATTAAATTTCGTATTACATTTCCATCATTGATAAAATTACTTCTTATCTATAATACTTGTTTTTGTTCAATATAATGAATACATAATATTAGAGATGTACCCAATATTTTATTTTTTATAAATATATAACATTAGATACGTGCCTAAATTTTTCTCTATCCTTTATTTTTATTTTTGTGATTATTTTAATTTCTATTTTCCAAAATTTTATTATTTGACTATGACATATAGGGGTGCTCATGGCTCATTTTTTTTAATCGAACTAACTTGGTCAGTTTCTTAATAATTCAAACAGAAACTGAACTATTTTTCTGGTTTTTTTTTTGTGTAGTAACCTTGGACAATGGATAAGCTAAAGCCTGAAGGCCTGTATATTTATGCAAAAAAAAATAAAAAATACACTATAAATAATATTTATGCAAAAAAATAAAAAAATACCTTAAACAAGCTAAAGGCTTGAAGTTGAACTTGGACAATGAACACTGAAGTGGTGGCCGATTTGTGGGTGTTGGACCGGTTGTTGTCGCCTGAACCTGAAGTGAGAGGTGGTGGAGATGATAGGTGTCGCCGGAGAGGGAGTAACTGGCAATTGGTTTTGGTGGCTTGGTGCTTGTTGGCGACCGGCATTGCCACTTGGTGGTTGGCATGGAGTGGCAAAGGAAATGACAGGCGAGAGAGAGAGAGAGAGAGAGAGAGAGAGTTCTCGGTTTTCTGGCGTGGCCGTAATAGAGAAGGGAGGGGGAAAGGCCATCGGAGGATGACTATCAACTGACACCGATATTGAACGATGGAAGATGACCAGTGCAGGAGGAAAGCAAAGGGAACTAGGGAGGAAGACGAACAAGAGGAAAGCAAGGGTTTTCAGTTTTGGTATTAGCCTTTAGGTATCGAAGAAGGAGAAAGGGGGGAAAACTCAAAAAGTCAAATGGCGGTGGATTTAGTTTGATTTAAAAAAATAAAAATAAAAATAAAAATATAATATATAGAATACATAATATATATAATATATGTTATTGTATATATATACCAGTCAGTTCGGTTAACCGCTGGTTTTTTAAAAGGTTAACTGAAACTGAACCAAAACTTGTGGTTTTTTTAAGAATAGTGAACCGAAACTGAACCAATTGGTTCGATTAACCAGATTTTTATTAAATTCGATTTTCCGGGCTTTCTTGCTCACCCCTAATGACATCATTTCATTTTTTAGGTAGATTTTAAATTTGGCATTCTATTTTCATCATTAATAAAAATACTTCTTACTATTTATACTTATTTATTTTAATTTTTTATTATTTAATTATGGTATTATTTATTAATCCATTTGACCTCAAATGGCTGAATTGCTTGCCCACCACCGGGAGGGAAGAAAATGGGTTTGTTTTCAAATTACTTTTCAAAATATTTATTTTTATACTATTAAAATTAATATTATGGATTTCATTACAATAGTTTAATGATGAGAAAAATATATCTTAAATATAGGATTTAATGAGAGAGAATAGAAAAATATTTTTATTTCCAATTAAATTTTACATTTCATTTCCAACATTAATAAAAGCACTTCTTATTTATCATACTTATTATTGTTTAATATGTATGTTAAAAATGTTCCCAATTTTTTTAATTTCTATTTTTTTATTTTTTTTATTTAATCGTGGCAACATGGATTGACCCATTTGACCCAAAATGGTTTAATTTCTTACCACCACCTAGATGAAAAYACTATTTTTTCTAGGTAGATTTTAAAAGTATAAGCTTTTATGTTATTGGAATTATTAATTTATTAAGTATAGATTTAATTATAGAACTTAATGATGAGAACTTGAGAAGAAACAAAAATGACTTAAATATATGATTCAATGAACATGAATGCAAGTTAATAACTTAAATGTTGGATTTAATGAGAGGGAATTGAATGCATTGAATATCTTAAAATCACCTCTTTTCAACTCATTTAGAATCAATAACCGATTTATCAATAAATTTAAATATAGAGGGATAAATTTTATCCTAAAAAAATTCCAGAAATATTCTTGAGGCCATTCGTACTTTTTAAAGTAGTATAGATATATACATATATTATATATCATTTATTATTTAAAATATAATATATGTTATATTATATATATTTATTTATTTATAATACATGTTATAAATATAAAAAACCGAACAACCAAAGAACTAAACCGGTCCACCAATTAACCTATGGTACTGGTTCAGTTTAGGTTTGGAAAATGCAAAAACCGGTAAGAGTGGTTTGGTTTCAGAAAATTGCCCATGGTTCGGTATATAGAGAGAGAGATTTGCAATTTATTGGTTACTAGAATAAGATACCATCACAGTTTTAAGTTCTCTATGTCTTCAAAAGTTCAACGAAAAATACAATTTAAAAGGGTCACAAAGCAACAAGTCATTCAGTTCAGCCACTTCAGCAGCCATCCATCTGAATAGATAAAATTACAAGAGAGAGATGCCATTTCTTGGTTACTTTTAACGCTCTATGTCTTCAAAAATTCAAAAAAAAAAAAAACAATTTAAAAAAGTCTAAGGAAAAGTGGAGAGTTGTGATGTGGACAAGCAGCTTCTTTTGTTTCCATAATCTAATAATATAAGGTGAAGTGAAACAGACGGCTGGAGCACCAAAATCTGCAGAGATGGGAGATGAGGAAACTTGTAAAAAATTCCTATTTTACTTTCAGATGAATGGTAAAATTATAATACAAAATTTAATGTTTTCTATACTTTTGCATATAATCGTTTACATAGTTTTAAGGCGCCAAGGTGAGGCTAGGTGACTAGGGGGTGCCTAATCGTCTAGGCAATGGATTTTTTATGTTAAAAACATAGATCCTAGGGTAGTTCCCTAGGTACAATAACCATATTTCTTTAATAGTTATTCATGATTTTTATAAGAAAAAAATAAATTTCATATTAAAGTATAGAAAATCAACATATTCATGAGAAGAAAAGGAAGAAGGAAAATAAAATTCAAAAAATATAGGGGCTGAACCCTTATTTTTGTTATAGAAAAAGAAGAAAATAAAAAATATTGGAAGAAGAAGAAGAAGAAGAAGAAGAAGAATATATGGAAGAGAAAAATGTGCTGATTAGATAAAATTTTTAGTTCTTCCTTACTTATTGGTTCAAGTTTTTTAAGTCTTTGAGGGTTCAATACAACATTTAACAATGTTTGTGTTGATTAAACCCTAATAAATAAGAAAATAATAAAAAAGAATTAGTATATAAACACACAAAATGATTATTTTAGTTTAATAATGTCTATTTTATAATTATAATCTCAAAAAAGAATGAATAAAAAAAAATTATAGTAGGAAGTAGAAAACTGTTAGGCAGTTAAGCGAGGCGAGCCTCGAAGGGTGCCTTGTCGCCTAGGCACACGTCTTGACAACTATGATCGTTTATTTCACATGAAAGAACAAATTTTGTCCTTTTCCATGTAGTGGTTATAACAAGAAAAGAACAAATCCAATGTTCTTTACACTTTTGCCATGCAGAGGTTATAACATGAAAGGGGCAATTGTAAGGCGTAATCAGATTTTCATGACGTTCATGTCCAATTTGGGAAGTTACACAGTTTAAACAATTCCTTGCAACGATGCCTTTCAACCAAGAAAAAATAAACAATTTTTTGAGATTCCTTACAAGCCCAAAGTTCAAAGGATCACTGATGTTATATATTGATGGTAAGTTTGTTTCAATAACAAGGACGAGCTCAAATTTCCTCAACAATAATCTCTCTGCAACAATCAGCTCAGTAAGAAACTTCATCTGCTTTGTCCTCCTATAGTATTAGTAGATGGAAAAGAGAAGAAAGATGGAGAAACTGAGTGCTTATTATCTTTAAAGCCCATGTGGTGTAATGGTTAGGATGCCTTTCCCATCTTATGGATCAATGGGAGAGAGAAAAAGGTTAATGTTACATTTATTGAGCCCAAGGAAGGGTTCCTGGATAAGGAGCTACACCACAGTATCTGAATAATCCTTCTAGCTCAGGACATCCATTAGGGTAAGGGATTGATCGATGGAACGGATCACGCCTGAGTTTCTTAAGGCGAAGAGAACCCAAACAGCCATATGGATCTTCCTGGAACTGAGCCCTTGCCATTGCTTCACCTTTGACTGCTGCCTCCTTTGATGTTGATGAAGTTGGTGTTCCAGAAAAGAAGAACCTTTCCTCTGGAAACCCAATTGCAAATCTGTGTAGGTGAGCAAACCTCTGTTCCTTGAAATCATAACTCACGACCTGATTTCCAAATGCAAATAAAAATCAGAACTCATAAAAAAGTGAAAGTTGGGATTTCTTGACAAGACTGAGCTTCAGCAAAATTTTGGGAATGGAAGCAAAAACTGAATTTCCAAATTTTAGGTAAAAAAATAGAGTTACAACTTGACTGGGATTGTACGATTTTTAACTGTAAGGCTCGGTATATCTCTGTGGAGAACCAATGTGGTTGTTCTACTCCTTCCTTACCTAATACCTACTAGTGAAAAACTTTCTTTATATTTTACAGATACTTCATTAATTTGATAACATAAAAAAAAATAGTTGGTCCAAACAAGGATGGACACTGATTTTATTTTCATTGAGACTTTAAAGCAGGTAAATTTATTTTTGATTAAGCAATTATGGACACAACGCCCTTAAATTCAATATCTTACAAATTTGTAGCATTCTCAGGGACTTCAGTTAAGGATAAAAAATAAACAAATGCCATTAATTTCACCAGGACATAGTAAATACTATAGTAGGTCTATTAACCATGAATATTAACAGTATGTGTATGTCTAGCCAGACAAAAGAGCACCAAAATCATTCAAATCCTCTATGTTGTTAGAATGCTACTACCAGCACATGCCACTCTTGTCCATTCTTTAAGTAGGCCACCTTTCTAGACAGAATCAAATGAAGAATATAGAAATAAAGGCCAAAAGCCTCTACCAAACAGAATGAGGGGCTTACAGTAATGTTATGTGGATATACACCAGTAAGTTCCCGGAACCTGCACACACTAAATAGAAGGTTCTCAAAACTGTCCCTTGCATGCTCTTCTGTCAGTGACCTCCATCTTACATCTTTTTGCTTGCCTAAAACATACAAACAATCAAATCAGATATCAAAAACTATATATTTTACCAAAGCCAAAATAGTTTCAAAGACAAAGTTAGATATTCACATTGGAGATTTCTTTAAACAGGTAGAAGGTTCAAGCTACATTTCAAACCTCCAAATTTTTTAATTCATTGTCATTTTTATTGTAGAGCATATACAACGCAGAGATAGCAAGAAAATTATATGTGAAGAATATACATTAAAGCCCTCCTTCTAAACACAAAAATTAAACCAGAAAATAATCTGTTCCATTGATCCTAAGCTTTTCCGATTGAGTCCAGTGAAGGCTTTAAGAACTCCAATTCATCAGATAAGACGTAATTGCACCCTGCTGATAATTGCCCTTGTTGCAGACAACTTTGATTTAAAGATCCTACTATTTCTTTCCCTCCAAATGGACCAGCAGAGGGCAAAGGGAAGAACCATTCACCATCCAAATGATATTAATCCCTGGAGATCCTTTTGGATAACCTACGGATGACCAAAATAGAGTGGGTCCAAATTTCATATATGGTCTTGCAATGAATCAAGATCTACTTGACAGATTCTTCCTTGTCACCACATAGGCAACACATGTTCATCCATTTATTTGCAAGATGGTCAATGGAGAAGATCCTGTCCCAAGTTGCAGCATTCTTTTCCCTTTTGTGTTTGATGAACTTTCCTAAATTTACAAATCTATTTTGTCACTCTAATCCATTTTTTCATTAAGAATAATAAAAGGGTTAATGAGGCATAAGCCTCTCCACCTTATATCTGGAATTCTTGGTGTCTTAACCTAAAAAATGACTGGCTTCCATATTTGAATGCAGAATATGAAAATGATAAAGTTGAGGTACAGCCAAAGTTAATATTATGCAGAAGAGCACCAAACAGGTTCCCATAAAGGTTTAACATGTACACATAAATGCTTCACAGTTTATTCAAAAAAGTTCAGGTATTAACAAACATCCAATGAGGTATTAATGATTTAAACAACTATGTCCAATATCCTAATGGTAACTCTGAGGATTCACAGGCATACATGATTTACATGGAGTCATTTACCTTCTTGTAGAGTTCCTGAAAGTAAGATGTTGGCAGTTTCATGTTTTCAACAAAATGGTATTAAAACAGAAGAAATGATTTGAGAGTTCTTTAGGGACAAAACCATTCCGTATGCACTATATAGCCATCAACATATATGAAGAACAATCAGAAATCACAATACATGCAACAATGAGTAGTTGTGTCGTGTGTTCATGCACAATTCCTCAAAACTGTTGCAAAATAATGGAACCTACAAGTGGCACACTGTTCAAGCACAAGACATCAGAAATCGTTGAATCATGCCATTTGAGTTACAACTTGCAAAGATCCAATTTTAGCTTAAACAATCTTCAAATGGATTGTCAAAAGAAAATAATGAACTCTATGGTGGATGGCAAAACTGCCATAGACTAATTAACAGGTTTGAATTCAAATTAGTTGGTCACAGACTAATTAACCACTCATAAAGGAGAAACACAAAAATCATAAACATATACTTCTGCTTATGCAGCGCAAACTCCAATCAAGAATTGTGAATAAGGAAAGTGACCGTTTTGGATAAAGAATTAAAGATGTTGATAAATGAAGAAATGGAAGCTTAATATTGAAAAACTGTTGTTAAACAGATCCTAAAAGTAAAACAAGCTACTAATGTACAGTATACATAGATTAAGATAAGATGTGCTTAGAAAAATACAGTCGGGATCTGCTTCAAACACTGGCATGTAAAATGGGCTATGTAACCAATCACAAGTGAACACACCAGTGTTTCGTACACATGAGACCCACATGTGGTATGGGCCCATGTGGGTCTCATGTTTACTGAACACTAGCCTGTTCACTAGTGATTGGTTACATAGCCCGTTTTAGACATTAGTGTTTGCAGCAGGTCCGGAGTTGGAAAATTCTTAAAAGTGGGTGTGAGATAGCTAGAGATCCTATGCTTCCAGCATATAGTACTGTATAATAACATGTTTAGTACCAGTGACATAATCTAACCCAGAATGCAACATGTGGTGAATAGACAAACTAGATCTTCAACAGTCTCAAAATATGAGATTATATAGGTCTCATGTTAATGGCAATTGCTTGGTGCAATGGTAAAATCTCAGACTGATAAGTGTGAGAATATGATTTGAGTCTAAGAGTATCCACTTTGGGCAATGGAAAATGAAGACAAAAAGAAAAAAAAAATCCAAGGTTTAGTTCCATGTCCATTCTACCTGTCTCCAAACTCAAGAGAGCCAAGACAATCATTGGCATAATGGCCCTTTTAGATTATATAGGTCTCAAGGTTGAAATGGGATCTTTCTCAGTTATTTGGGAGGTTATTGTCAATCTTTTTTTATCAGTAATCAGATCAGACTTTATTAATAAACCAACAAGGTGTAATTCAAATTACACAGCAATCTGAAACAATTTTCACCCCTTGGCTAGTCAACAGACAAGCTCCCCATTACACACAACTGCATTCCCTAAACAACAGGACTACAATGCATCATTTCCCCACTATGCCATCTCTGGCCAATTCACCTTCTACTAAGTTAACATATCTTTGAACCTACCTGAAAAAGAAATTTGATCTAGACATGAAGGACCTCAACTCTTCTCTAATGTAATATTATAATGTCTAAGGAACTAAGGTCCCCTCTTTGTTCATTCATCCATCCTATTACCAATTTGGAATCTCCCTCCAAATCATTGGAGAATGCACGCCAAAGATCTACCAAATTGTAAACCTAGTAGTAAAGAAAGAATCTCTGCCTGACAGAAGTTCAGTACCCATGGGTCCTAAGTAGACCAGTGGTTCTTTCATGATTTTTAAAAGCATTCCCCCACCTTGGACAGGCCTTAATTGCATAAAAAGAACTATTTGAAGTTTAGTTTCAGTAGGGCTATATAAAGTCAAAGCCAATGTAGGTTCTTTCTCAATATCAAAGTATTTGCATCCACAAAATCTATGAAATTAATTTAAATCTTACTAACATCATTTGGTCATTCCACCACAAAAACAAGTTTGCAAACAACCAACCAATTTTGTAGTAAGAGAAAAGTAAATCTTAAATATAATTTTTGTATTGGTAAAGGTTGAATGAAATTTGTCCTGGTTGCAAACCAAGCTTTGCTAATAATCCTTGCAAAACAAGCTTTGGTAAAATCAGGAGTTTTTTTTTCCCGATCTCAAAGTTGTTTCCATCCATAAAACCACTCAAGTCACAGAAATATGACTAACACAGTGATTTAAAAAGTGCAGCTTAGGCATGCCTAGGCACATAGGTGAGGCACATTTCAAGGTATGTCCCTCACTTGAACCCAAGAATAGCCCCTTAGAAAAGATGCACGGTTAGTATGCTTAGGTGTGCACATGATGTGCCTTGCTTGCTTCACTTGCCAGTGCTTCAAAAACCTCCTTTTTTGCTAGTATTGTTTTCTCATCCTTGTTAATATGAAACATTCTTCAATAAAATCACAAGGGGCCTTTATGGAGCCCAATCATGTGCACCAAAATCACAGGTTAAAAATTTGGGACCATCACTTTGCCTCAAGGGGTCTTTATGGAGCTGAAGGACCAATCTCATGGAATTAGGAATGCAAAATGTTTAAAATCAAATTGGCTACCTGAAGTAATGGAATTGGGAGAGAACAAAACAGATTAAAAGTTTCATATGCTTGAAATGTTGAGCGCTTGAATATGTCTTATATGTTATGTTTGACTTCATTTCTAAATTTTCACTTTGAATATGTTCTATGTTGTGCTTATGTATTTTAATTTGAGCTAATCAGATTTTTAAAACATTTAGTTTCTTTTGAAACTTAAGTTTGCATTTTTTTAATTAATTATAATTTTTTTATTTTTTGGAAATTTTTAAAAATGTTGTGCCTTGCTTTGAAAAGGTGCGCACTTAACCTTGCACCTTGTGCCTCAGGTGCAAAGGACCCTTGCACTTTTAAAACACTTCCAGTCATGGAGAGACACTAAAAATTTTAAATCTGTCCTTCAAAGTGTTGAGACTAGATACTTATATCCTCTTCTTGCTTAGGCTCCATTTGGAAGGAGTACAAATACAAATACGTAGAGTGCAAAACTTTATATTTTGTATTATTTTATATCTATTTGTACTGTACATATTTGTATTTGTACTCCTTCCAAACTGAGCCTTAGAACTTAGATGCTGGCTTAGACAATTTGATGAGATTTCTTTTGATGACATGAGAACGATTCTTCAGCCTTCTGCCAGCTGGGAGCCAGCCTATAAGGAGAACTACTCTCCATCCATCTTTTATGGCGACTACAGACTTCAGTTTGATGGAAGCTTTAGGGATAATCTGGATGCACATTGGTGGTGCTTTCCTCAAGGCCAATTGAAGTATTCTATGGCATTTTTCCCCACAAGTGACACTTGTTCCATTGAAGTTGAGGTTAGAGCCCTCTGTTCGGAATCTGAATCACTAAAAGGTTATACCTTACAGCTATGTTTGGTTTGAAGGAAAAAGTAGGGAAGGGTAGGAAAACCTATACAAGGTTTGTAAAGGTTTCCCTACCTTTCTCTCTTCCTTTCCCTACTTTTTTCCTTCAAACCAAACACAGCCTACTTTCTTAACGGTTCAAGGGAACTCCTCTAACACCATCAACTGGAAACAAATGCCGGGTAGTGTCCCATGATGCCTTTCTCACTTTGTGAATGTGTTATGAAAGAAACCAAAACAGACGAAAGAAAAGAGTGCAAACAAATAAGAATCTAAAAGACTTATATGATTTCAGGATTTTATACATACATCCATAGGAGATCCCGGTGAAATTCACTGTGCTCAATTCAAAAACATACAGCTCTAGTGGTCAAAGTAGCCTTATATATATATGGATCAAAAAAGAATTAGAGAAGAGAGGAGAAGAAGAAGAGAGAAGAGAATATTGGAGTCCAAAAAATCTAGGCTGCCCACGCAA